GGGGTCACTATGAGTTGGATCCCACTCAATGGCAGTGAGTTGTTTATTATTATTATTATTATATATGTGCCGAGTTCTGTGGAGGCTGATGTGGTTGTGAACAATGCTAGCATAGTCCCTACCCATCTTAGAAGTCTCACTGGGGAGCCTACATAGAAAGTGGTAATTACAATGTGAAAAAGTGAGTAAAATTGCACAAGGAGGGAATACAGAGAAAGATAAAGCCAAGGTTAGAGTCCCAGAGAAGACCAACATTTAAAGGACAGGCAGAGGAAGAAGAGACCAAAAAGGAAGAGAAGTAAAAGAGAGAAAAGACGCAACATATTGCAATGATTAAGAAATGAACTCTGGAGGTAGACTGCCTGGGTTCAAAGCCTGGCTCCTGCTACGTATGATCTTGAGCAAGTTACACTCTGACCAAGTTTCCTCAACTATAAAATAGGATTTAAAAAAAAAAGAAAAAGAACCTAACTCACAAGGTTGTTATAAGGATTAAATGAGTGTATTTATAAAGCTATTAGTGCCTGGCATGTGGTGAGCATCATATGTGTTAGCAATAAAAATAAAATACAAAGGAGAAGAGAACTAGAAGAGAGTAGTGTCACACATGGAGCAATAGAATGAAGGGTCAACTCAGTCAAACGTAATTGAATTACATTTGATGATGGGAAATGCTCATTAGATTTTTCAGACAGGATATGTAGCAGAGAGTATGCCATACATTCACAAATCCATTTCCTTTCACTCTCTAACACATTACAGTCTATAGTCTTCTTTGTAGTTGTTGTTGTTGTTGTTATGTGCCGTTAAGTCGGCCCCGACTCATAACGAACCCTCCTTGGGTTTCCGAGGCAGTATCACTACGGAAGTAGATTGTGCACCCTTCCTTCAGAGGAGTGGCTGGTGGTTTTGAACCGCCAGCCTTCTGGTTAGCAGTCAAGTGCCTTAGGCACTACGCCACCAGAGCTCCCACTTTGTAGCAAGATGGAGCCATGTCTTAGGCAGAAATGATGTATGCCACTTATAGGACTGACTCCAAAAATGTTCTGTAAAATTATTTACCTTCTCTTTCTTTCCTAGTCTACTGTCTTAGATACAGAGACTCTAGTGGAGTATTCTGAGCCCTAAGAAATGGCAGAGCCACTAGATGGATGGAGCTTGGGTCCCTGAATGTTGCATGGAACAGAGCCCCCACCTCTTCTTCCCAGTGAACTATGGTGCTAAGCCATTGAGTTTTGGGGTTGTTACAGCAACAAAGATCACTTATCTTAATAGAGGGTAAAGGACATGTTACAGTGTATTGTGCAGGTAGGTGTAGAGGCTATGAGGATAGATTAATTATTTGGAGAAGCCTGGCCTAGAAGTGAAAATAAAGGAGAAGAGAACTATTAAAAATATCTAGAGGAGAATGCAGGATTGCCGGAACATGATTTTGTGTGGACACTGGCACTTCTGAGTTGACCATTCTCTAAGAACCCTGAGCAGCAGGGACTAACCCCAAAATCTGACCTCTGCCCCTTGTTCCAGGAAGAGGCCTCTGGGACTGTCTGGGGCTGCAGCTGTCCTGTCTGATCTTTCAGGAAGCTTCTCCAGCACACACTTTTTTCAAAAGTGTGTTCTATATCCTTGAGAGGGTCCATGATGCCAGGAAGAGGATTGAGGGGCTGGGGGTCACAGCCATCTTCTTCAGATGCCTCAGCAGAGATCATGTCTCTGGAGAGTTGGGTAGGCCCCATTCTCTGGGGAGACACAGAGATGAGAGGTTTGGAGATGTTTTTGAAAAGATTTTCCTGAATGACGTCAGGGATTAGTTGTCATGATTCAGGGAGTGGCATTAAAGTGGGCAGGGGGCTTCCTGGCAGAGTGAGGTGCACTTATATGTGGAGCTAAAGAGCTTTGTTATACTTGCCTGAGTAGAACAGAGGCCAGGCCATCTCAAGAGACCCAAGAGAACCAAGGGGCCAAGGGCCAGGAAGAGGCTGGCCTATGTAGCATAGCCAAGAAACTGTCCTGACCAAAGAACTGTAACCTGAGTTGTTCCTGATACTGAATTGTAACCTGTTACTTCCCTAATAAATCCCATTATCACATTGTGAGTTCTATGTGGCCATTACAATGAAATTATCAAACTCAGCAGAGAAGTAGAGAGTGCAGTGGGAGCAACTGATGGTGTCAGACTTGCTAAAAAGGTTGGAGGAGGTAAGTCTGACCTCCACTTCATAGGAATCAGCCTTGGGCTATTGATCATGATTCTCTCTCCTCCCCCTCTTGAAGTTAGAGGAGGTCAGATGACCCGGACATCATTTTTACACATCCCTTTCCCCTCTCCATCTTTTCATTGAATCAAACCAGTTGGCTAACACCAGGATGTTTGTATAGGAGACCAGGTGGTGCAATGGTGAAGTGCTTGGCTGCTAACAGAAAGGACGTGGTTTGAACTATCAGCCGATCCATGGGAGAAAAAACCTGGTGATCTGCTTCTGTAAAGATTACTGCTTAGGAAACTATGGAGCAGTTCTACTCTCTCCTGTAGGGTCACTATGAGTTGTAACGAACTCCTCAGCACACAGCAACAAGAAGATATACTTCAAATTAGTTCCTCCTCTGGCACTTCCAAAAAGAGCCATCTAAATAGTATCTAAACCTCCTCTCATTGCACAAACGGGGAAGAGAGGCCTCAAGGTAACCCAGAGGATGAGTGGCCCAGATTTGAATCTAGTCTCTCAGGCTCTTCTCACTGCACTGAGATGGGGCTGGACAATGAACTGGGAGCTGGCCATAGCAGGAAGCCTCACCCTTCCCCTAAGCTGGGCCAAGTGGGCTGAGTTGCAAAAACTGGGTCATTGGTCATTTATCTGACCTCTGTCCTAGAAGCCTTGGACTGAAGAGGCCACTGGTGGGTGGGAGAAAGAGTATAGGAGATTTACTTTTCTGTTGTCTAAGCTGTCATCGGTTCAAACCCACCAGCCACTCCTCAGAAGGAAGATTGGGCAATCTACTTCCGTAGTGATACTGCCTTAGAAACCTAATGAGGGGTCGCTATGAGTTGGATCCGACGCGACGGCAGTGAGTTTGGTCTGGTTTTTTAAGCTGTCGTTGATGTTTGAATGGCTGGATATTGGAAGCATACCCATTTTCCCAAGAACACTAGCTCACCACAGCGTCTCCTGCTGGTCTCATGGTTCTACTGCCTCTGCTGCCACACTTCTCTGCCACTGCTTCTCAATGTCTCTGGGTCAAGGAAGTTCTCAGTGCAGGGATCTCAGGTCCAAAGGGGTCCTCCTCTCCTGTCCCTTATTCTAGGAGGTAGTAAGGTCCCCCTCTTCTGCCTCTGGGACGGCTTATTTTAAGCTTAGTAAAATGGCAAAACTGACTAATCTCCTCATTAAGGTTCTGTACACACACCTTATTTGCATGGTCATACCCCTACAGGGGTTCTATATACTTTATTTGCATGATTCCAGCCCCACAAGGGTGTCGTGTACTTTATTTGCAGTATTAGTAAGCTGTCCAATTCCCTTGGTGGGTCACAAGCACTTTAATTGCATAGTGTCATCCAGTTATTCAGTGGGAATTACAAGACCCTGGCTAGAAAGGCCATATAAAAGTGATCCATCACACTGCAGTGTGTATAAAGAAACACTTCTGACTCTGCCCAGATGGTAATGGGAGCTCTTGACAATCCTGACCGCCTATATTTTCTGATTTTTTTTTTAGCCCTCTTATGGCAGCTCTAGTGGTGCATTCGGTTAAGAGCTCAGTTACTAATCAAAAGGTTGGAAGTTTGAATCCACCCAGAGACATCTCAGGAGAAAGGACTGGTTATCACAGCCTCTTGGTGTCATGGAGCTCAGTTTCTACTCTGCAACGTATGGGTTTGCAGTGAGTTGGAATTGACTTGATGTCAAGGTTGTTTTTTTTTTTTTTTTTTGAATAGCCCCTTACTGTGCTTTTGGTCTGTGTGTGTGAGAGAGAGACAGACAGAGAGAGCAAGAGACGGGGGGAGGGAGAGAGAGAGAATGAGAGAAAATATGATTATTTGCCCTTTTTCCCAAATTTGTTTTTATTGCCTGGTGGGGAAGGAGGGAGCCCCCGTGGTGCAGTGGTTAAAGTGCTTGGCTTCTGCGGTTTGAACCTGCCAGTAGCTTCAGGAGAGAAAGATGTGGCAGTCTTTTCTGTGAAGATTTACAGCCTTAGAAATCCTGTGGGGGCAGTTCTATTCTGTCCTATAGGGTTGTTATGAGTCAGAATTGACTGGACAGCAGTGTGTTTGGATTTTGGTTTTGGTGGGGAAGGGGGCAATGGTAACGATCCATTCCTCCAGGTAACACCTCAGGCCAAGGTTCTGAGATCAGATCAAGACCCCCTTGCCCGCCAAGGTAGACGCTGAGCAGGGGACTGAGGTGATTGTGGATCCAGGGGCCATGTATGTGCTCTGCAGTAGAAGATATCTGCTGGAAGCACACAGGGACATCCCTTGTCCCACGGGGTGCCTAGGTGCCTGGCCACAAGGTTAAGTGACCAAATGAATGAATGCACTAATAAGTCTTAAAAGCGTCCAGGCGCTGAGGGACGCTGCAGTAGGCAGCTTTCATAGAGGTTCTTCCGGAATAGAGGCTTCGGCCTGGGGTGCAGTGGCAGGACCTTGTTGTTGTTATGTGCCGTCGAGTCGCCCCGACTCATAGCGACCCCTCCTTGGGTTTCCGAGGCAGTATCACTACGGAAGTAGGATTGCCCAACCTTCCTTCCGAGGAGTGGCTGATGGGTTTGAACCGCCAGTCGTCTGGTTAGCCTGCAAGCGTCTTAGCCACTATGCTACCAGAGCTAGCAGTCCCCCATAGGGCTAGGTTGTCGAATGCTCCGCCCACAGAAGGCCGGGCGGCCCTCCCCGACAGTCACATGCTGTCGGTGGGCCAATCAGCGGTAACAGGACATACCTAGGGCTGGAAGGGTGAGGGGTGGCCCGGCAGACGTTCCAGAGACATCTCTCCGGTGGCCTCATGTCGCATAGTGGAGCCGGCACTGAGCGGCGCCGGCAGGCGTCAGAGGCGGACGCCGCGGAAACAACCTTCCGGGCGAGCGGTATTTGCAGGGCGGGCGGGACTAGCTAGGACGCGGATCCCAACCCACCCCTCTCCCAGGAAGTTTGCGCTCCACCCACAGGGTCCGCGCGCCCACCCAGAGCCGGGCGGGGAGGGGACACTCCAGTGTTGGAGCTGCAAGCCAATCAGCTCAGAAAGAGTGCACACCTAGTCCAGAAACCCCAGAGAGGGACCTTTGGCCCTTGAGCTGTGTGGGACCTCTACTCGCCTCTGAGTTGGGCCTGCTAGTGAATGAAACCCTTCGGAGAGCGGGCGGCTGGGCCTTTGCTGATTGTCCTTGACCATCTGCCCCTAGAGCATCAGCATATTCGCTACAACCCGCTGCAAGATGAGTGGGTGCTGGTGTCAGCTCACCGCATGAAGCGGCCCTGGCAGGGACAAGTGGAACCCCCACTTCTGGAGACAGTGCCCCGCCATGACCCCGACAACCCTCTATGTCCTGGGGCTACACGAGCCAACGGGGAGGTAAGCCTTTAAAGCCCACATCCCGTGGGCCAGGAGAAGTAGCCCTTCCTTAGAGCTGCCCCCACCCATAGGGGCAGTGGACCTCCTGGGTCAGATCTAGTAAGCGTTTGTATTCCCCAGAGTGGGCCTTCCCCACCCCCTGGTAGTCTGTCAGCCCCTGAAGCCCCCCAGATGGCTGGTGGTGTGGGGCAGCAAATGCTTCTCGCCTCTCCTTGCTGCTAGGTGAATCCCCACTATGAGGGCACCTTCCTGTTTGACAATGACTTCCCAGCTCTGCAGCCTGATGCCCCCAATCCAGGTAAAGTGGCCCCAACTGCTCATGGGGGCTGGGGGAGCCTGGGCCTCCTTGGGGGCTTCTGCAGAGAGTGATAACCCTTTCTCTCAGGACTCAGTGATCACCCCCTTTTCCGAGCAAAGGCTGCCCGAGGAGTTTGGTAACTATGTATTTTCCCTTGTGTAACCTTCATCCCAGGGCCTGGACTAAGCACTGGAGGTGAGTCCTGCCTCCAGCACAGCCAAGCCTTATTCCTCTGTCATCCCTCTCCATCCCATCACCTAGTAAAGTCATGTGCTTCCACCCCTGGTCGGACGTGACGCTGCCACTCATGTCAGTCCCTGAGATCCGTGCTGTCATCGATGCATGGGCCTCTGTCACAGAGGAGCTGGGGGCCCAGTACCCTTGGGTGCAGGTGTGTGAGGCCCCCTACCCTGGATGGCAGGGAGGGAAATGGTACAGCTTTGATTCTGGGGGCTGCTATTCCTGTTTCTATCAGCAGTATGATGGAGTGGGGCTTGGCTTGGGGTATTTTTGGCTATTAAAGCTCCCTACTTTTAGGAGCTCTGGTAGCATAGTGGCTAAGACACTTGCCTGCTAACCAGACGGCTGGCAGTTCAAACCCACCAGCCACTCCTCGGAAGAAAGGTTGGGC